AAAGTTGAAATTTGGTACACAGTTATTGTTTGTTACGAGAATGTACTATAAATTGTGGTAATTAAAGTTTTAATTTACCTCCATTAAAAATGCATTTGAAATTATTCAACTTTTGAAAAATAAAATGTTATCTTTAATTCACATTTTAATCCGCTGTAACAGTCATTTCATAAATAAAATAAAAGTATTTATGATTTAATTGATAATATTTTTACGTCATTAACTTTATTTAAAAATTGTTATAATTTTTAAACCAATAAAAAAAAAAAAAAGTTTGCAGAAGGTAGGATCGAACCTAGGTCGCACCGCGTTGCAGGCGAGTACGCTACGGACTGAGCCACTTCGCTGTACTACCATAAGGTAGAATCGATCGGTATATAAGCTGCGCTTAAAATTTTAGAGCCTTTTTTCTCGGAATCTTCTGGCTAGTGTGCTTTACAATTCTTCTGGGTGGACACCCTTGAGGTATACTACGAACCTGCCAAGTCCCATCCCGAACTGAATTTCCGAGACCGTAAGGTCCCCTTGTAAAATGTAAATTTTAAAAACTTTTTATAATAAATTTTTTTCCCTATTAACTAACAGAATGAGGTCTACTCTGGCCAATAGCAATTTCCAGCAATCATTAATTAAGAACCACCATATCATCTGTGTTTCTCACCTTCAGATGTCTAAATAGGCAATGAATGTACACTTGCCCCACACCTTGATTGATGATCTTTGTAAAAGTTTAAAAAACTTGTTCTTTTTAGATTTAAATTCTCAGTTCCATTCAGTTCTGGAATTTTGTAACAGTTTTTTTGGTTGATGCTGACTTGAAGTCAAAAATGTTTTCTTTTAATTTTATAGTTTTCAACAAAGTTGGCTTTCTTAACAAGCAGAAAGTAATCAATATGATGATATATAGTTGGCGTTTATTAACTTATATTATATTAATTTCATTTATTATGATAAATGTAATAATGAATTTAATACAGTAATACCCCGATTTACGCGATTTTCAAATCTCGTCGATTCCTCTTTTGTTTGAGTGCCACGCAACCCTTGATTACTCACTCCCCCCACACTATTGTTCAGCTTACATGTTCGGATGTGTCACGCGGAATCCACACATAGCTACAATTTATTTTGTGTTATTTATTTCTGTGTTTGTTATATCTACGGAGACTTGAGAGATTCTACTATGTCATCCAAACGAAGTAGAACTAATTCTTCTGCATCAAACAAGAAAAGAAAAACTTTATCTTTGGAATGTAAAGTTAACATTGGGTATGTTCGTAAAGTCGAACGAGTTAANGGTGGTAGTGCAGCGACCTGTTTAAAATAGTTCTATTGGATATTAGTGGTGTACATGAATGCGAATGAATCGTACAAGAAAAAAAAAGGTCAGAAGGTTTTGCAGGATTTCCTTGGATGAAAAAATTACCGATTCCCGGACTGTCCGGACGATAGCACTATCGTAGGCGCGCTACAAGTATAGATTAGGATGTTTCAAATTTTTACAAGATATTATTATTATTTATTGTGAAATTTTGCCGCCCCTAAAAACTGCCGCCCCCACTACGGTATGCCACTGTATTGGTCTTTTAAACAACAATTCTAAAATTCCATGTTTTGTACCTCTTCACTGCATAATTCACCACAAGCATCTCATAGCAAAGTACTTAAAATATGAAAATGTGTGGAAGATTGTTTTGCAGATTGAATTTAATTAGAACAAATGCAAAAACACATTGTCAATTTAAGAACTTCAGGAAGAATTTAAGAAGACAAAACAGGTCAATTGCTCAGTGATCTCTCCTTATGGTTGACTGTAAAATGGCTATCAACTTACAATGTTTTGAGCCATTTTGTGGAAGTCCTAAATACTATCATAACATTTTTAAAAGAAAAAGGAAAATATTACCCAGAATTAGAAAAAGAAATTTAGCTTTCTGACTTAATGTTCCTTACAGATGACATGGAACATTTGCAAACACTTAATTTGGCTTTACAAGGAAAGGAAAAAAATGATTAGAGATTTGTCACAAACTGTATTTAGTTTTGAAGCTAAACTTTGGCTTTTTATGCACAATCTAAGTCCAGACTATTTAGTCATTTTCCACAAGTAAAAGCCAATATATTAATATTAAAGAAGAAAAATTAGAAAAATTGGAAGGATTAAAGCAATTTCAAATGTAGCTTTGAAGATTTGAAAAGTTTTAACATTTGCATATTTCATGAACCAATTATTTGCCAATTATTCAATTTCTGAAATAATACTTGTTGAAAAAGTGGCTGGAGAATTGGAGTTACTAGAGATAAAAGAAGATCAGGCATTGTAAATGCTTCACAAATTTAGTTCTCTAATTGAATTTTGGAAACTTGTGCCAGAATTAAAATATCTGCACTTAAAAAAGCTGCTTGCTGTCTAATTTCAATGTTTGGTACATGTTGCTGTGAATTGTTGTGCTCCACAATGAGATTCATGAAGTCGAAATATCGTTCACAGTTGACCAATCAGCATCTCACAGAATTGCTGCAAACAGCTTTAAAAATTATATGCCAAAAAGATTTGACAAAGGTCTTTGTTAAATGTTATACTTTTTTAGTGAATATTTATTATTATATTTTGTTTTTATTGTTAAATTTTTGAAATAATTATTTTGTATTTTATCTTTCTCTTAATTGAAAGTTCTTATATATATATATATATAAAAGTATGTATACATATATACATACTTTTTACAGAACTTAAAACTTACGTAGAATATGTCATCGTATTAATTTAAATAAAATTTGATTATATGTATTTATTTTTGTGTACTTAAATAATATGGTGTGGCTCTTTACAATATATGAAAACTGGCATGTGGCTCTCATTGATCTCATGCATGCCCACCCAATATATATCATGCTGGAGTAAAAGCTTAAAGTCAACTGAGAGCCATGGAAGACCTTGGACACAAGTCATCTCCAGTCAGTATGGTTATTTCTAAATTAATTAACTGATCTGGAAGCAAATATCAGAAGAAGGTCTGTATAGCATAACTGGCAATGCATCTGTACAGTAAGCAGGAGTTGTAAGTTTAAGTCCCATTTTTGGCTGATCTTTTATTTCAGAATATTCTAAATTAAATTTGTCTATTATTTCTAATCATTAAATTTAACATAAGATGGAGCTTAACTGCTTACCTTTAGCCAAATATCTTATTAATTTATTAGCCTTATTGTACCTGATAAAATACAGTTGTTTATTTGGTACAAAATAAATTACTTAATTTTGCTATTACATTAGAATCATTTTATACTCATCTTATTATTATAAGATTATTACAGAAGGCATCAGTTATGCTCAAAAAATGTCAAAAATCTGAAACTGGTTCCAGAACTTTCTCATAAATTAATCAAGAATTTTTGATTATATTACATATGTAGTAAAAATAAATCTTTATCACAGAATGAATATTTAACAACTTAGTATTTGCTCAAAATCATGTGTAAAAACACTGTTTTGTTTATTATAAGATAAAATTTAATAAATCACAGAAAAAAAGTTAAATTCAAGAAACATAAACAAATCACAAAGTATAAATCCTATTATATAAATTTCTTGTCCATTCAAAAAAAGAAACCACCACTTAATAGAAAATAAATGTATATTGATCTTGGATAAGATTCACACCAATATTCTTTGTAAAATGCAGAGTGCTCTTAGATTACCATGTCTTTCATTGAAATTTTAAATTTCTTACTTCAGATATATCTAGTGTTTATATTTGTTATTTATATATTGACAATTTCATCTACTCAGTTAATTGATAAAGACTAATAAACTTATTTTAATTCAAATAGCTTTTAAAGGATACTTAATAACACAGATGTAGGCAATCTCCCAGGATTTTGATAATGAAATTTATTTGAGTAAAACATTGGAATAGCACCTTCCTCTAGCATATGACGAGTTGAAGCCTACATAAAAAAAATCTTAAAATTAATTTTAATACATATTAAACTTTTATTTAAAATATATCCAGTATTTTAACAACTAAGTGTATTTCAAATCTAAAATATTTTTTATATTATAAATGTTACATCAACAGTATGAAACACTTTGTAGTGTTGCAGAATAAATCACCACTAAAATATTTCAAACATTATATTAATTGACAATGATGCAGTTAATAAATTTGTAAAATTATAGAAATCTTTGTCACAAATATGCTTGCATTAGTGCTTATTTGAAACAGATCTTACATAACACAAATAATGTATCTGTATACAGTATATTTTTCATATGATTATAGTACATTAATATAAAAAAATATCGTAAAAATTCTACTTACTGGTAAACATGAAAATGGAAATTCATATTTTAATTGTCCATCTCCAAATATTGGTAGTCTGTATGCTAAATTTAAAAGTGGTCCATCTGGTCCTAAGAAGTGCCTTAATGATTCAAAATCTTTTTGTCTGTTCAATGATGTTATTCTACTTAATCCCCAACCATTATGAATATTTGTTCCTGAAGTACTAAATCCAAATAAATTTTCAATAATCAAGGGATATAAAGTTTGAAGATCCTAAAAAATAAAGAAATAGCTTTAAATGTATAATATTAATAAATTGAAATAATCTATTAAGAATAAAACAATATCAATTATATGCATATATCTCTATTAGTTTTGTTATTCTAAACTTGTAAGGAACCAAGTCCGAGCTTTATTTTTACTTTACTTTTATTTTGCTTTTATTATATTTTTGTTTGGGGCTTATGTTTAGTTAGGACGAAGGTTTCCTCACCCATCACCCCAGAACGTTCAAAACGAGAAGATAAGAGATTAACCAACTCACCGACGATGAAACGACAGTGCCATAGCTAGCATTCGCACTCATGTGCACGCCCGAGCGGCAGAATTGTAAGTCCGCACTGAAGGGGGGACACCCCAATAGACTTTCTAGGAACTTGTGTAACCTTTAATTAAACATCCCGATAATTGTTAAAGAAATGTTGTAAAAGGTTAACAAAGTATTGTCGAGAAATAAGTTACCAGATAACGAAGAGAAAACAAGAATGTTATGTGTAGATATATAAATGAGGGGAGTGTCTCAATTAGAACTGTGACGTCACCTCAGACTATAAGTACAGTAGCTCAAGTGAAGACAGACGAGGTGAGCTCCTGAACCGAAAGTGTTGGTCTGCTGGTAGCAGTGAACAAGGTGTCGAATAGGAAATCCTAGTAGGAGATTGAAGGTTCGATTTTGATGATTTGAAAATAGGAAAGTCTTGAGTAGAAGAAAAGGTTCCGAGTATTAATTGAGGTGACGGTTAGGATTGATAGTTATAAGAGAATTTGTATCTAAGTTAAGAATTGGATTTTGTTTTGTCGGAATTCCAAGGGGAATAGTTCTAAGTTAGAATAAGACTTAAGTTTGTCGGGTTGATTTGTGATTTGATTTTTGATTAATAAATTTGTTGTTTGTTTATAAATCTTGTACATAGTATTTGTTAGACTTGATTAAACATTTATTATTGAGATTTTTTTTGGTGACTAACTTTGTCCTTAATTTATTTCGGTGCACGCTAAAAGTCCAGGCCTGGCAACTAATAAACGCGAACCCGCGTAAAGTACCCGTTAGGTCCCAGCTCTTTAAGAAAAATTCGTTGTAGAGCAACAAACTAAATATAGTACTTTACAAACTTACAGTTTACCCTACTGTTAATAAGCTCCTCATCTATTTCTAACTTTCTTAACAAATAGTTCTCAAAACATTTTAGACTTAACATCTATCTTTCCTACATTTAAGTGTTGATTCTCTTTACTAACTTTCTTGTTCTCTTTATTAACTCAACTGAAACTGAAAGAAAATAGATTAGACTAGCTTATCATCTACTATATATTATTATAGTTATACTTTCTTTGATCAAACTATTCTTGATTTTATCTTTCAACATTATTCCACAATCCACCTAAACATTTTTACCTCACTTATATTTGCATTTTTTAAGTTTATCTCTCCTCAACATTCTGGTCTATTAATTGAGGGTCTTACTGGAAATAACATATCCTGCAAAATTACAATAAACAAGTTATTAACAAATTTCAATCCATCATCAATCCATCTTCTAAGAAACTTTTAAGGTTCAATTGCATGTCCCAAGAGTTATACACCCACATTGATAAAACACTGCATATTAAAATGCTAGTGAATTGAAACTAAAACTTTTTCTCCTCCTTTTCCTTTCCTTTCTCAAAATACTCTTTTAATGTGGGATATGCCATTTTTCCACCAAGTCCTCAATTTAAGGATGATTAAAGACAAGAACAAAACTATCACACATGGCAGAACTGTTTAAAGATCATTATTGTTTATTATATTATGGTCCAATTTTTGAGAAGTTTATAGAAAAGAATATATGAATGTTTATAGCTTCTAATATCAACTTCATAATTTCCAATGAACATTGGACCATAATATTGTTCTTTGCATAAACCTGTTATAATTTCACAGTTATGTAAATATTTGTTTTTTAGATTATTGGGACAACTATATAACTATTAACTTTCCATACACTAACAATTTATTTTATATTTATCATTTGTTTTATTATTACCTATGTTAATTTTTATTGATTTTATTCCTTGTAATATACAGTAAAACTTTGTTATTTCAAAATCGGATAATTTGAAGTACAGTAGAGCGTCGTTTATCCGAATCAATTGGGAACTGGGGTTGTTCGGATAAATTATTTTTCAGATAACCAATTATGTACGAAAAAATATATTAACCATGTTGAAATTTTTCTCCGTTGCGTGTCGCTTCATGTTGAATTTTCGTTGAAGTTAAGCCTAACATAAATTTTTATATTAATATTAAAAATCGTGGCTATTCTATCATTAAAAATTATTTCTTTATTTTGTACAAACAAAGTAAATATATTGAAAAATATAAAAAACAAAAAAAATTATACTTTAGAAGTTAATCTAGTATCAAAAACATTTGATTCAGCACAACACACAGTACTCAGAAAAACACCACACAAAAGTGCCAGTGCTGCCAGCTAAAACACGCACACTAAAACAAAAAAATATTGGAGTAGCCCAAGATATAGTCAAAGGTTGCAGTGCCACAGCACTAGTGGAAATTTAAATTTGCCAACTGGAACACTTTCGGTTAACTGATGTTTCGGTTGATCAGCTTTCGGATAAACAACATTCTACTGTATTGTGTAATTTAAAGTCAAGTCTAGTCCCCAGCCAAGAGAATGAGATTTTGCAATATATTTTAGTTTGGATACTTCAGAATACATGTACTGTACAATGAAATTCAAAGTCATTATATGGTCCAATGACCTGCAAAAATATTGTTTAATTTGAAATCTTCCATCATATTACATGTTTATAAGAAAATTTCCATGTGGCAGTTTTAGTTTCACCAATTATAACTAATTTATTGGATGACCATTCAAGGTCATTCAAACATTATACACATTTCCAATAAAAAGAGAATTTATTATTATTTTTTATTTTTATGGAAAAAATCTGCTTAGCATTTAATTATTTTTTACATTTTTTGCAAAAATCTATTGATATAATACAGCTGGATCCTCATGCCAAATATTAATAGTTTTTTATTGCTAGTGCATTCAACAAATCTATTTTTGTCGTCATCAGGCAAATAAAAATTTTAAAATCGAACACAAATGTTCTAACAAGAATGGAATGCATATTATTTAAACTAAAAATTTTTGAATTAAACCATTATGAGCAAGCTACAAATTTCGAATATATTCAATGTTATGCATGTGATGTTATACGTATGATGTGGTGTGGTGTATGCATGGATGCAGATCCACATTAAATAATATGCATGCCCTTCTCGTTACAACATTTGTGTTCAATTTTAAAATTTTTATTTGCCTGATGATGATGATGAAAATAGATTCGTTGAAAGCGCTAGCAATAAAAATCTATTAATAATGTTGTACACAGTGAATTTTCCTTCCTGCTAAAAATCTATTGTTTCAATACATGTGTATATTCATGTGTATTCAATATTCATGTGTATATTCATGTGTATATTCATGTATATTCATGTGTATATTCATGTGTACATGAATACATGTGTATATTCATGATGAAATGCATACTTTAGCTTTAGCTTTTAATAGAGATTTTTTTCCATCAGATGACATGATTCTTATAATCTCAAACTCAAGACAGTAACTTCTTCAAAGAATTAGCCATTGATCCTCTAAACTAGTGGTTCCCAAAGTGGGTGTTACCATCATATGTGGGAAGTGAGTAAATCCAAGGGGCAAAAAGAAACAAGTGGGCAGCAGGGTACTGACAGTGACCATAGGCAAAGGTCAGGTGTGAATGACCACCTTTCCTTTCCTCTGTTAAAACAAGTAAGAAGAAACATTGCATTTAATGGCTTCCAGATATAGTGAACAATGTATGATAAGGACACAAAGTGTGAGGTTCATAGAAAAGTTTTCCTAAGATATTTCCCAGTCTTTCTCACACAAAAGAAAGTGGTTTAAGGGCGTTGGGTATAACTTTATGGAACCAAGGGGATGGTGGCTCAAAAAAGTTTGGGAATCACTGCTCTAGACAAAATTCATGGTAATTCTTTTTGAAGTACAGTACTTAAGCTTCTTTTGATTTTAGAATAAACTTACAGTTTGCTTTTCAAGTCTTACTTTGAATGTAATTTGGTTACGTTTTCATTGTTTTCATTAAACAAGGGTTGTGCTGCATAGTGCCAAAACTGCCACTTGATGATATTTTTATTAAAGTTGTGATAAAAATATAATATTGGCAATAGCAAGTGGCAATAAAATCCTAGCCTGCTTGTTTCAATATTCAGCGTGAAATTGAACCACAAATGAACTTAAGGAAAAATAGCAAAATATCAAGCTTCAGTACAATGGGAGTCCTGTGAACCACATAGCAACTTCATGATGTCATGTGGCAAGTTTGGGAAGAAAACTAGAAAGTGACGTTAAGAACCAAAGACAGTTTTGTGCGATGTCATCCAACATTTACAGACTGAAAATTTTATCGACAGAAATTTTGGGGAATTTTTTTGGGATGACTTTTTCACTTTGATCTTTTTTTGGTAGACTAAAACAAATATTCTGACATGATAGAATCTGTGAAATACTGTTTAAACATTGTGATCAGATGTGTTATTTGGAATTATTCATTAAAACATTATTAAAAAATGATTTCTATTGCTAACAAGAGGAAGGCCAGACATTCAGGTCTCTGTTTCGAATAAAACTTGTTAAGTATGTAGCCCTAAACACAAACAGCTCATTCATCCAAATAATAGGATCCACTTTTCAAGCGTTTCCAAATATTGGGCCTCTGAAAATTTAGTGTTTAGCTTAAGTTTCTGACAGTTTCAAGTCCCAAAATGGAAATAGCAAAGTGAATAAGATGCTAAGCACTGGAGCTAGATGATGGTAGTTTTGAAACTATGTAGTTTTGGTTTAGTTTAGTTTAGTTAATTTTATGTGTAACTTCATTATTTTACCACATTATTATTATTATTCCTCACACTTAAACCTTATAACACAAGAGATTAAAAATTTTGATGTCATTTCCTGTTTAGTGAAAACAAGCCTATGTAGATTAACTCGTTTACATCGATAAATAAAACTTTTATTTCTTCACATTTATTTTCAAATATTTTACATACTATGTCCTCACATGCAAATATGCTTCAGACATTACTGCACACGGACAAAAAAAACAAGTGATATGAAAAAAGGGTAGCAAGTTGATTCATTTTATTATTTTTTTTTATTGTTAATATCATGGAAAATTTCCTCGTGTGCTCATGTTTGTTACACTTGGAATGTCATAATACCACCATATCTAAAAATAAATATGAAGAAAATTTTATTTAATAACGTAAAAGTTAAATCTATAGAGACTCGTTTTCCATAAACAGGAAATGACAACTGATTCAAAACACATTCCAGTGTTCCGAAGGAAGACATTGATCAAAGGAATGAGTTGATTCATTAGAGGACAAATAATGGGGAAAAAGACAAAAAATAAATAATTTTTCATATGTTGAGACTAAGATATGTGACAAATTTGTGTGTACATTCTGTTCTCTTAAAGATACTTCCAGACTTGTATTCCTTCTGAATTTATACCATCCTAGCACCTCCTTATGCCTTCCTTGTAAAATACTGAATAATCGAATGCTTGTTGCTTAATTGCACCACTGCTGTCATAAAAAGAAAATGGTTTTTCACAAGGCACAATTGTGTAAATATTTAAACTGGTTACTTCTTTTTCACTACATATTTGCGAATCACTGACTGTATCAGTAATATGACTTATTACTTCTCCTAGAAAAAAACCTTCCTGATCTCCTTGACCATTTACATGCTCGTAGAATAAGGAAGATAACAACAAACCACTAATATTGACACTCAAATCGGTTGCCATTTTGTTTGTGACTTGTTAATTTGTTTTTTGTTTTTGTTTGTGACTTTTTAATCTCTTGTTTTATAAGCTTTAAAGCTTATAAAACAAGAGATTATTATATTATTATTCCTCACATTTAAATGTGAGGAATAATAATATAATAATAATGCAGTAAAATAATAAAATAATAATATTACACGTAAAAAAAACTAAACTAAAATTCCGAAGAACCTGTTTTACATTGGCTAACTCTAGTGCTCAGCAAATTATTCACTCAGCTATCAACACTCTTGGATATGAAACTTCCAAAGAACTTATAGGCTAAACACTAAATTTTCAGAGGCCCTGTTTTTTGGAAATGCTCGAAAAGTGAGTCCTATTATTTGGTCAAGGAGCTGTTTGTTTTTAAGGCTCTGTTCTCACCTCTTTGTTCAAATTGGAGACCCGAACTGGCCTCTCCATGTAAATGAAAGTTTAACATGTTACTTTTACTTTTGAGATGCCAAACTAATAAGACTACTAGCACCTGCATTAATTAGTCAGTAAAACTGACGTCTATAAAGAATTTGTAGATGTGAAATGATGGCAATATTTTTAAATTTTTTAGAGCAACCCCTGATTGAGTACATAGAAACAAATGGTTTTTTCGAAATAGCTTAAATTACAAAGTAATAACCTATAATGTTATCACATTTGTAAATGAATGGGTGAAATTATATAAGGTAATGTCGTTTTGGGGGGGCCTATATCTCGCAAAGGGTCACCCATATGGGCATGGTTCCTTTGACCTTTTTGTTCCTATTGTATGCTCTACAGCTCTGTTAAAGTCCAATCGCATCATTTGGTCCTAGATTTCAACCACTGGATTATCAATCAAGCTCAATAGCCAAATGGATAATCTGGTGGATTGTTTGGCAATACAAATGAATCGGGTTGTTTACAGAATTAACAGTATCTCTTTATTTTTCTGATCCATATCCATATATTAGAAAAATAAAATGATAAGGTCCCAACCATCTCATTTACAACTACATTGTATAAACCATAGGTTTTATATCGCTTTTGTTTTCAACACTGTTGTACATAAAAAGTTTTGAAACTATGTAGTTTTGGTTTAGTTTAGTTTAGTTAATTTTATGTGTAACTTCATTATTTTACCACATTATTATTATTATTCCTCACACTTAAACCTTATAACACAAGAGATTAAAAATTTTGATGTCATTTCCTGTTTAGTGAAAACAAGCCTATGTAGATTAACTCGTTTACATCGATAAATAAAACTTTTATTTCTTCACATTTATTTTCAAATATTTTACATACTATGTCCTCACATGCAAATATGCTTCAGACATTACTGCACACGGACAAAAAAAACAAGTGATATGAAAAAAGGGTAGCAAGTTGATTCATTTTATTATTTTTTTTTATTGTTAATATCATGGAAAATTTCCTCGTGTGCTCATGTTTGTTACACTTGGAATGTCATAATACCACCATATCTAAAAATAAATATGAAGAAAATTTTATTTAATAACGTAAAAGTTAAATCTATAGAGACTCGTTTTCCATAAACAGGAAATGACAACTGATTCAAAACACATTCCAGTGTTCCGAAGGAAGACATTGATCAAAGGAATGAGTTGATTCATTAGAGGACAAATAATGGGGAAAAAGACAAAAAATAAATAATTTTTCATATGTTGAGACTAAGATATGTGACAAATTTGTGTGTACATTCTGTTCTCTTAAAGATACTTCCAGACTTGTATTCCTTCTGAATTTATACCATCCTAGCACCTNTGTACGTGTGCTGATCTTTGTAATTATAAATTGTGAATACATGTGACTAATATTATTTTCTTTTTTATTTTGTGCATGTTACAAGTTATAAATAAATATAAACAAACAACACTACCTCGATAACATTAAATCTAAATACCAAAACGATTAATTTACTGTGTTTTTGTTATTTATTACCCCTGTTTTTAGGTATTCGGCCGAATAGTGATTAAATATTCGGTATTCGGCCGAATAGTGAAAAATAGGCCGAATACCGAATAGTAACCGAATATTCGTTACATCACTAGTTACTACAGATAAGTCACAACGTTACAACAATAGGCGCTGCTTCCTAAAATTATAATTATGTAATATAAAATAAAACTTTAACATTTTTATAAATTCTGGAAAATTAATATCAATCTTATACATTTAAAAAAATATTTTAATTTATTTAAGAAAAATAAAAAGTTATACTTTTAAACTCGTCTCGCCGATTAATCTTGTTAATTCGGAACATCTTTGCGGCAACGGATATTCTAATATTTTCTGTAACTGTATCTGTAAATTTAAACGTCATAATTACAAAATCAGGACATTAAACCCGAAACCACGTTTGAAACTTACGCTAACCGCCGCCATTTTGTCCGTCGATAGGTTTTTCGATTCAAATTAATCGTTTCGTATTTAATAATTTTGCATTCATAAATTAATTTAAACGAAATAATTTTCTTTCTTAAATAAAATATTAATAATTAATTATCGGAATTTAAAATAATTTCTAAATTAAATATAAATGTAAAAAAATATATATATATTATAAACAGTTGCAGACGACAAATAGATATGTCATTCAAAGAGTGAGTATACGATATAAATAATCCAGCACTTTATTTATAATTTAAACAATTCGGTATACTTTCTTTGTCGTTTAAATATTTAGTATTTTATTTATATTAATGTATTTAAATATATTTTGATCGTTTTATTTGTTTACGAATTCGGTATTTCAATTTAAATTTGTAATACGTAATGTCAGTAGCGTTTCCAGGTGTCATCGTTAGGGGAGAGTCGGGAATAGATTTGTGCGTAGAAGTCTTTTTCGTATATAAGTGTATAAAGATTTATACGCATACTTTCCTCTGCTTTCCACCTGAATACGCCTCTGTGTGACGTAATTAGTGTTGTCAAGTGTTTGAATATTGTAACGGAAATTGCTTGTATACAGCATTGTAATGGCCTGGAAATCGTTCCCTGGCTAAAAATATCAGGAAATTTTTTGAGAATTTAAATCTCAGTGTGTACTAATTGGCATATAAAGACATTAAACACACTTTTCTAGCAATTAAGTTTGATACTTTTCTGTTGATATATACTGCATCATGTAAAGAAATGTCTATTTTATTATGTGTAAAGTACATTCAAGAAACATGGACAAGTACAGAAGTTAACAAATAAAAAACTTGCAAATAGGATTCCTCACATTACATGGAAGACCGAAAGCTGCAGATTTCATTTAACATTGCTGAAAACAAGTTTAATTATTTAAAGTTTTTGGCCGTTAATAGATGACTGGCATAACTCTATTGCCAGCAGGAAAAATATGATGCATAGGGGCAAGACAATTCTAATTTGATGTAGAGAGCATATATTTTAAATTAAATTAATTAAAAATATGATTAAAAATTGCAGCACAGCATTGTGACACTGTCATAATAAATATTTGCTCATTTTTATTAACAAATAAAGAAACATTCTACATACTGTAATTTTTAAAAAATGGTAAAGGGAAAACTATCCCCCGGTTCCAAGCTCTTAATGGCATTGCTTCCAATCAATATAATGAAACAAAGAAAATAGAAAATGAAGTACAGTAATAGAATGTAAACAATTTGATACAAGATGTTTATGTCCTTAACATAGATGATGAAACTTTCAATAATATTGACAACATTGGTGGACAAACAGTAAACAAGATTGGTGATGAACTGATTACAGTTTGAGTTACGATCATACATGAATGAACTATTTTAATTTAATTAGTTTTATGATAAATATAAATAAATTATTAGCATACTTATTGCTGTTTCATTTTTGAATATATAGTACTGTATAATTATAAAATTGGATTCATAATAAATATAATACAAAAAACTATGCCATTTTTATTTGTATAATTTTCATTATTCACATTACAGATTAATTTGGATTATAATCTTAGATGATTACACTGTCAGACAGCATTAAAATTTAAATATCTGACAGTCTGACAGCATCTAGTGTTATATCTAATTTGGCATGGACTTACAATATTATTTGTCTATTCTAATGGAAACTGCAAGAAAACTCTTCTAATTTGGATTATAATTATAATTTCTGTAGTTTAGAAATTAATATAAGAAAATAAAAAGTGCTATAAACTTAATAATGTTAAAATGTTAATGAATTTTCTAAACTTTTTTAGGATTTATTTTCATATCATATAATCATATAATAGAATATTTACAAAATGGCCTCTTCTTCATTACCTTCATATTGGCTAAGTAGAAATAGAAAAGATTTGGCCGAACAAGCTATTGTAGCAAAACGAGAACAAGAAGTTCAACGATTAAAACATTGGAACGAAGTTTCAGAACATTATCGTAAAGCAGATCTTCGGTCATCAGTACATAGTGCCTTAATAAGTACAATACCACCTACATCTATTCCAAAGTAATTGTTTTAATTTATAAGAATAATTTTAATCAAAATAATAATGTTTATCTATATTAAAATTGTAGAGCAAATGTTGAATCTGCAAAGAAAGAACTAGAAAGTGAATCTAAAAAGAAAGCGTTAGAGATTCGTAGAGCTGATTTGTTAAAACTTTTGAAAGATGAAGAACAAAAATTTAAAGTAAGTGTTGTTTGCTGTATTTAAATACCAGTATATTATTGTAACACAGCTAGATATTTTTAAGTGATCTGAACTCTGTGTTTCATATTTAAAATCTAATCTTTAATTTAATAGAATTGAATTTTTTGAAAAATAGCATTGAAAAGTCATAGAATTCTCAATGCCATAATTAAAATTTATAAATAAAAATTTTGATTGATTTATTTTGGAAACAGTGATTATCCTGTATATACTTGAAACAACTATCTTCACTTACAATAACTCAAACAAACCCATAAAAAAAGTAAAATANTGATTGATTTATTTTGGAAACAGTGATTATCCTGTATATACTTGAAACAACTATCTTCACTTACAATAACTCAAACAAACCCATAAAAAAAGTAAAATAATTTAAGAAAAATAAAAAGTTATACTTTTAAACTCGTCTCGCCGATTAATCTTGTTAATTCGGAACATCTTTGCGGCAACGGATATTCTAATATTTTCTGTAACTGTATCTGTAAATTTAAACGTCATAATTACAAAATCAGGACATTAAACCCGAAACCACGTTTGAAACTTACGCTAACCGCCGCCATTTTGTCCGTCGATAGGTTTTTCGATTCAAATTAATCGTTTCGTATTTAATAATTTTGCATTCATAAATTAATTTAAACGAAATAATTTTCTTTCTTAAATAAAATATTAATAATTAATTATCGGAATTTAAAATAATTTCTAAATTAAATATAAATGTAAAAAAATATATATATATTATAAACAGTTGCAGACGACAAATAGATATGTCATTCAAAGAGTGAGTATACGATATAAATAATCCAGCACTTTATTTATAATTTAAACAATTCGGTATACTTTCTTTGTCGTTTAAATATTTAGTATTTTATTTATATTAATGTATTTAAATATATTTTGATCGTTTTATTTGTTTACGAATTCGGTATTTCAATTTAAATTTGTAATACGTAATGTCAGTAGCGTTTCCAGGTGTCATCGTTAGGGGAGAGTCGGGAATAGATTTGTGCGTAGAAGTCTTTTTCGTATATAAGTGTATAAAGATTTATACGCATACTTTCCTCTGCTTTCCACCTGAATACGCCTCTGTGTGACGTAATTAGTGTTGTCAAGTGTTTGAATATTGTAACGGAAATTGCTTGTATACAGCATTGTAATGGCCTGGAAATCGTTCCCTGGCTAAAAATATCAGGAAATTTTTTGAGAATTTAAATCTCAGTGTGTACTAATTGGCATATAAAGACATTAAACACACTTTTCTAGCAATTAAGTTTGATACTTTTCTGTTGATATATACTGCATCATGTAAAGAAATGTCTATTTTATTATGTGTAAAGTACATTCAAGAAACATGGACAAGTACAGAAGTTAACAAATAAAAAACTTGCAAATAGGATTCCTCACATTACATGGAAGACCGAAAGCTGCAGATTTCATTTAACATTGCTGAAAACAAGTTTAATTATTTAAAGTTTTTGGCCGTTAATAGATGACTGGCATAACTCTATTGCCAGCAGGAAAAATATGATGCATAGGGGCAAGACACTTCTAATTTGATGTAGAGAGCATATATTTTAAATTAAATTAATTAAAAATATGATTAAAAATTGCAGCACAGCATTGTGACACTGTCATAATAAATATTTGCTCATTTTTATTAACAAATAAAGAAACANTTAACGCATTAAATATATATATATATATATATATATATAATAAATTAAAATATACAGCTATTTAATTTAGATAATTTTCTGCAAACATTAAATAGCCATTCATTAAAATATAAAAATACATAAATAGGTACTACTACAATTTTAATTAAGTAGTACTTAATCTGTATCAATTCAACTAAAGCTATATAAAATATACTTATTTCTCCATTTGTCTTTTTTCTACTGAAACTACTGACTACTGGGGCCACTAGAAAGTGACTTAACTTTAAAGAGTTGGAGAAGATAAAGTTCCCTGTTTTAAGAAGATAAAAGTTTTAGGTTTTGTATTGAAAATTGTGCTTTTATTGAAAAGTGATACTGACTTACAGAATTTCAAAAATGTACTAAATATGAAACCACAGATAAGTGGATTTTCATTAATCAAGATGCTATTTTATATTTTAAAGACCAATTAAACACACTACATTAGTTTATAAAAATCAGGCATTGTTTATTATTAAGAGATGAGAATGAGAAATATAAAATATCATAAGAACACCTAAATCTAAAAGGTAAAAAGATAATAGTAAAGTTTAAATAGCTATCATTTAATGAAACATACAAATTTTATGATTTATTATAATTATATAATAAAATAATTATTTATCAATTCAGCTAAAGTATTAATTATTTCATTATAATGTATTGTTGTTGTAATTTTTAATTTAACAGATGGAGATGGAAGAAAAAATATTTACTTCAAGAAAAACTGATCATTGGAATATTGAAAAAATGAAAAGAGAGTTAGAAAAATTGCAAAACTTAAGAAAAGAAGAGAAAGAAAAGGTATACAAAACAGATTCCTTTTCTTTACCAAACATTTACAATGTTAAACATTTTTTAGAACAAAATTCCGATTCTAAAACATACATTAAGAAGAGATATTTTAAAAATACTCATTGGAAAAATTGATTAAGGAATATATCCTTTAAAATTAATTCTTCAAAAAATCTTCTTAAAGAATTTGAAAAACTTAACGGTTGATACAGTATTCCACCATCTTTTTTTTAATATGTAACTGCATTTCAACAGAGGCAACTACTAAGGATTATAGATGTTAGTTCTTTATTATACTATGCATTTTGGATGTAAGATTTTAGATGTTACAGTTGGAAATGCCTTAGGGGATAGAACATTA